ATGACAGAACAAGGAGCAATGGGCTCAAGTTTCAGCAAGGGAACTTGAGGTTAGACATTAGGGAAAACTTTCTCACGGGGAGGATAGTAAAGCACTGTAACAGGTTATCCAGAGAGGTTGTGGATTCTCCATCCTTGGAAGTTTTTTAAGCCGTGGGTACACAAAGCCTTGGCTGGAATGATCTCGTTGGGGATGGTCCTGCTATGAGCAGGGGGCTGGGTCAGATGACCTCTTGAGGTCCCTTTAACCCTCATTTTCTGTGATTTGATGAATTCCAGGGAGCATGAGCAAAATGAAGGGCTGTAATTTCATAGCTATTCTGAGAGATAACATCCTAAGAAAATCCTTCTTTTTGTTTTCTCACCTTCTTCCCCACTAACCTTTGCCTTTTAACAGTTTATTTTTGGAATATGGCCTGTCCTTCTCGTGGAGCCTCCCAAGAAGCACTGACGGGGAGCACTAGCCAATGATGTGTGACCACCTAGCCTGGCTGAATAAAGAAATTCTCCAAACCTTGAGGCTGACTGAAGTGTCAAATTATACATCAGCTCCGAAGTTTCATAGCAGTGAAAGGACTTCTCTGTATTACTGGTACCACCAGGCACAGCAAAGAGGGAAGAGTTGGCACATTATGGGGATAATGTTTAAAGTACAATTTTATTCTGAGGTGTTAAAAAGTAAAAACAAAATATTTTTGTGTATATATTGTAAAGCTGAAAATATCGGGCTACTATTTCGTGCTGGTCACTGAAAACTAACTTTTTTTGAAGTGGGCTGCATATATATATATTTTTTTTTTCATTCTGCTGTCTGTCTTCTCTATGGTTTAAACTAATATTAGTAACTGAATTATGAAGGCCCCGTGCTGGCCAAGCTTAAGTATCTAGATGGCCATTAGTGGCCTAGATGCCTGCTCTAAACTACTTTAAGCTTGTACTTTTACATAGTTTAGTGAAGCATGTGATTATTGAGGGCTCCTTCTATCCTGCTTGTGTCCAGCTGCTTCTGCTGTCTGTATTCAGTAAGGGCGATGGGGTGCGTGGTGCAATTTTGCCAAAATGCAACAGGTTTCCATTTTCCTTTCATCCAGGGATGGGTGGGCATGCCATGAGGAGTCTTCCAACTCCACCTGTGGAGAAAGCATATCAGTGATATCCCTCAGGGATCATTTCAAAAGTTGTTGCATTTAAATATTCGTGCTAATGTCTTCTCACAAAGGTGAGGAAACTGGAAATCTGTCCCGAGTCCTTCTGACTGACTAGCAACACATCATGAGAATCCAGAAGGTCATGTTTGATTGCTCTGCCTAACCCAGGCAAACCTTATTAATTCTCATGCTTCTTATTTTCCATCTCTCATTTCCCAAATAGCATTCCATACCCACAAATGGTCTAGCCTTTACATGGACAAACAATTTATATTCTTGGCTCCTTCAATATTTTACATCTCTTAAAAAATTATCACCCAGGCATCCTAAGCACCTGTCAGCCCACTGTCTTCTTTTGAAGCAAGGGGGGCTCCTCGGTTCTGAAAAAATCAGGCCTCTGTTTGGTCATCTCAGCGTAAATGGTAATGCTTCAGATCACTTGTTTGTGATCTTTCTTTGATGCAGCCACCAGCTGGGAAGTGTGGGCCAGCTCCTTATGGTTCTCTTCCATCACAGTAACCCCCCTGCTATGTGCCTGTCAGGGTAAGAGATTCCCCCATATTTCTGCAGCTTGTCCCTCCCATTTGATAGAAACCTAAACCAAATTAATAACTGTAAAGGGAAATGATCTAGCTGAATCAATAGGATTTATCAAAATGTGCCACAAATTTGTGGCCGTGATTTTTGGCCCTCTCAACAGCAGAGAGATTCAGTATGTGCCTAGAGCCTCTCAGCCACTCGCTCTGTGACTTGTCCTCCAATATTATTCCAAGACTTGTATGTCCTCCTGTAGTCTCTTATGTGATATGGAAGTAGCTCACAACCTTTGGCCCGTGGGCAACAATACTAAGCAAGTAACAGGCTGCAGACCTCATATTTTGCTCTCCCCATCCACCAGGGCTATAGTGGTGACGGCCTCAGTTTTAACATCCCGTGTCTATGAGCAACATCAAAGGGCAGCAACAGGCTGGGACCACTGTCCTGTAGGTTAATGTAACACAGGAATTACCTGTGCTATTTTGGAAATGCCATTACCTTTGTGCATTAATTCAACACAGACCTACAGATATTTTTAGAGCAGCAGGCCATGGGCATGGGCATGCCCAGTGCAGCTGCTTGGAAGATCTGCACAGTTCTGGCATGTCCATTTTTTCTGTTTTGATTTCTTAAAAAATGGATGTAGGGCCTGTAAGAGAAAGTCTGTAGTAACTAAAATTGGCTCTTCATTCTTACATGTTTATCTCTGTTTACAATTACCTATGCACCCTCAGGGCCTTCTGTAGTACAACTAATACATGAATCTTTAATTGAGGTTTGGACGGGCATTTTATGAGCTGGTTCTTGACGTTAAACCAAACAAAGGCCATGATTCAGGCGTGGTGCTTAAATCCCGTTAAAGTCAGTGGGTGCGTCTGCACATGCTATTAAGGTGAAACAATAAACTTTGGCAGTTATCACGCCAGAGTTTATTACTCCTGTGTGCCGCATTTATGCATGCATGTGGGATGGCAGCACTCTGAGCCAGGTCAGAGCAGCCCCAGCTGGCAAGAGGCCCAAGAAGTCAGCTTACCAGCCAGGGGCTGCTCCACCCCAGGTCAGTGTGCTGCAGAGGGGCTGGCTGGGGCACAGGGGTGCTCCAGTGTGGGGCTAGCTGGCATGCAGCCCATGCACTGAAGCATCCTCATGCCCTGTCCAGCTGTGTCAGCATCTGCACATGTGTTGCTGTGCACGAAAAAAACTCTGCACCAAGGTAGTACTTGTATTTATGAATACTACTCTGCTGCAGAGTTCATTAATTTCCTCTGGCCTAATCAGGCTGCACATGTAGATATAAGGCACTTACTGTGCAGCTAATTAGTCTACTCTGCAGTGTAGACACAGCCAGGGAGACTTAAACATACACTTAAACCTAAGAAAACACTTTCCTGAATCAGGCTTTGGAATTACCTGCATTGTCCATGAAAAGGCTTGAGATTCATTTTAAAACCACAACTAATAGAAGCACTTAGTGTCAGAATTCCCCGAGAGCTCATGTTGCCTCTGCATGCTGCATTTGGATCCTTTTCATCACCTCCTGCCCTAAGGAGCAGTTGAGCATTTGCTTAAGAGCTCTGCTGAATGCATGCTGCAAGCCACTTGCATAGGAGCATCTATTTTGTACCTGCAGCATGTCGAGCATATCAGCAGTCACCGGGGCCTTCCAGCTACTTAATATTTAAAACGAACAAAAAAAAAGACTTTGTTTTGGTGGCCTTATTTTTCGCCTTGCAGAATTTGGGGGCTCTGTGTTTGAGACTTGTCTGTGTGCCCACAGCAGCTGCCTTGGGTTAAAAGTCAGTTTCTTGGTGAGATGTTTGTATAAGATGCTTGAAGAAACATGCTGATCAACCTGTGTGCTTGTGAGAAGCAAGTTAGCACGTGGCTTTTTGGATTGTGTTAAATCAGTTTGTCAGGATATCAAGGGTATTTAAAAATGTGTCCGCATCAGTTTTTTGCTGCTGCTTGGGGTTTTATACCTTTCATTTAAAAAAATATATATATATATTGGGAAATGGCTTATACTTTAACTTTGAGTAGCCAAAATATGCACTTTTCCCCCACCAGGAGTTTGCCACTACCTAAAGAATGTACATTAGAAGTTTATGTCTCTAATTATAAATAATAAAATATAATTATGGATGTGTTGGGAAGCACTACCTTACAGCTAATGCACCTGATATTTGAAAATGTCAGGGTAGAGTTTTAATCTTTTTATATCGTTAATTCTAAGTGGCGCGAACCCCAGGTGGCCTTCACCGCAGACTTGCAAAATAGAGACACATCTTTCCACTGTAATTTGGGATGTGCCTGTTACCATTGCTACTTGTTTCTGTTCTGTGTGACAAAGCAGAACAAAGTGGCACTTATTTTCAATGATGTTTAGAGCAGATGTCAAACTCCAGTCTGGACCGCACCTTAAAAAGAATACCATGGAGCACCTTGCTGTCCTATCTGAACTCAAAACATCCCTGTGGCAGTTGCTCTTCTGAAAAATAAAAATTAGGGCCAGCGTTTCTTAGGGAAGGAGTAAGTAACCTTTGAATTCAGTGTAAAGGCTGGGGACTTTAACTCTGAGGCCAGTGTTTTACAAAATACCAGGATAGATGAGCACCATGGTCCCTTGTAGCTGTCTGTGAAAAAGCCAGGACAGCTATCACCAGGTGACCAGTCCACGGACTATCCACAGACCACGGTATGAGAACCTCGGCCTTAGAGACAATACCAGGAACTTCAGACTTCTCTGCCAATACAGCTCACATGCTTTATATCAGGAGCCAGGATTTTTTGAATGAAACTCAGCAAAAAAGGATTTGCAATGATGGGAGGACATGGCAGGTTGCAGCCAGTCTTCAAAAGGAATATTTCAACTAGGTCTGTCTTGAAGGCAGCGATTCGTGATGACTAACAGTATTAGTCATCTCCAGGACTCTTCTTTACGGGATAGAGAATGTTCTTGTCTTTCAGCTCTCACATGAAGAGATGCGTAACCAGCAAGTGTTCAGAGAAAGCTAAATCTTTCTTTTAAGAGCACTGAGAATGAATTTAGAATATGCAATAGAGTTATCACTTGCAAATCTACCTCTGTCATGCATGTTACCCACTATTACCAGTGCCCTTACTTTACCAATGCAGAGATAAAAGCAAGTAGCCTAATTCAGAGCTCAAAACCTGCCTCCAGTTGTAACAGTATTGAAGTAATCTGTGGCTGAATGCATTAGCTCCCCCTGAGCCGACTGACTTGTTAGATGTCTGTTGGATTTCTTGCTTATATACTTTATCCTCCTGTTCCTCTGCACGTAGAATTCGAATTGATGCCAGTGGAAATAAGATGCAAATAGAGGCACCTCCGGATTGAGGTTTTCATTAGGTGCATGATTTTAAACCTTGCCAATACATCCATATGGTTAGGTTATGTTTGAGGTTTTATTTAACCGTGAAATAGTGTTTGTTGACTTGGCCTGTGGAAAGTACACAATGGTAAAAATACTATTGTTATGAGGAGTGTACTTCCTGAGTTCTAAAATTTGCTGTGTTTGCTGCTTGGCTAAAAGAAAAATAAGTGCTGGAAACATGGTTGATTTGGGATTGAAACTTTCTTGTTGGCAACATCTAGTTGCCAACAGCTTGTGGATGTTTTCAGGCATCAAGCTAATGTGATCAGCCAAGATTTTCCAAAATGGGAGCCCCAAACTTACACTACTCCATGTGCATTTAGGCACCTTAACAAAAGTAAAACATGCTAACAGCAGCCCAAACCTCCCACTGCTGTCAGCCTTTTTGACAGTCATCACCACTCTCTTTGCATTGTCTACAGGTGTGACAGCAATGCTTTTTTAAATGCATCTCAGTACTAATTTTTGTAATGATATTGGCATCTCATGGCAGATGTATGATCAGGTGGAGCACTCTGTCATTGGAAGAGGGTTTTTTTCTTAAAGGTATAGTGATTGCCCAAGACATCACTAAGCAGTGGCACATTTTGTTCAAAAGACCTATGCAGCTGGGGTCCGTTTCTTCTTTTTATTGCTGGGTCCCTGCCTTTACTTTTCAATGGGCAAGTGAAGCAGTCCTTTGACTTCACTGGAGCTCCACCTATATGGTGCAAATTCCAGACTGGGGGACTTTTTAAATTCTCTGCTTCTGTTTAACCTGGTAAAAACAGCTGCTGGGTGTTTTTTTTCCTTTACTGATGGAAGGAGAAAGCAAGAAAGAGCACACTGATGACAGGTAAGATACAGTGGGAGCTTAAATACAGAATCCCACAGCATTGGTTTTGTCATTTGCCTGATAACTGCACTTTAGCCACCTGTATTAAAAGCTTGAAAGTTTTAAAATCTATGCTCTTCACTTCTAATACTGATCCTGAGCTCTTTGCCACAGTGGTACTGTAGATACAATTTTTTTCTTAATTAATAGATTTTCTGAAATGTACCTTTTTATATGGATGAAATGTGGAATGGAGCATTTTGTATACCAACATTACACATGGGGAATGTTCCCTATTTTGTTTGAAAGTCAAATGTAATAACACAGAGTGGACTGTGTATCCCTCTCAGTCGAGGATGATCAATCCCGCAAGTCAAGTAAAGGGTTGTAAATAAGGCGGATAGATCCTAGAGCCATGGACACGCTGGCAAATGCCACAGATAGTGTTTAAAGGGAGGGTCAGACAACAGAACCTCCCTTTAACCCCCATCTGGTCTGACTCTGTAGCATGGAAATAATTATAGTTATCAAATGTATAAAATTGCATGCCACTGGCTACTGCTGCTAAGTGCCTGATTCTTCTCAGTCACCAGTCTGTTGTGTTCTGAGATTGTTTTTGTCTTGGATACTAAGAACAGGATCACTGGTGTGCGTGTTTTTGTTTTTCTTGTTACGTTATTATTTACAGAGCTGTTAAACATTAAGATTAAAGCAAAATTCACATCTTAGCAATGCTTCAATAATTGGCTCATCCAGCATTTTGCTGCCTGTTTACTGAGCTAGCCCCACAAGTGTGATTTCCATGCCTGTTCCTACCAGAGCATGCTTCATTTGAGGTTTTGAAAGCCAGCCAGAGGAGTGTGGCCGCAGAGCTTCCCCATGTTGAATTGTGCGGCTAGATAAAGCAAACGCTAGCCCACAAGGTCGATGGTACTTCAGTCAAGTGGACGCTTATGCAGAGCCTCAGTGACTGGAAGGCAGCTTCCAGGCTGGCCCTACGTTGGGTAGGTTATCAGTTTTAGGTAGGATTGAGGCTTAACCTGCCAAGTGGCTTGGAAAATCACTGCTTTCAATTGCTGGAGCCAGCTGCATTGTTTCAATTTTAAAAAATCACATCACTGGAGGTTTTGTAGAGTAACTTGGTCACAAATAAAGTTAAGGGGATGCAGATCTGTACAGCACAACCTGCCAGTTCTGCGCATTCGTTTCACAGCCGTTGAACACAAATCAGGCAGCTTGTTCAGAGACTGCAAGCGTTTAAATTATTTTGGCCCCAGCTCAGGAAGGCACTGAAGCAAAACTTTATCAGCATGTTCTTAAGATCATCCCTTTCTTGCAAAGCTCTTAAGATCATGTACATGCCATGGCGTGGGGCTTTGAATAGATGCTGGTGTACCTTGCTGAGTAAGGATGGACTTTTTCATGTGTGTTCAAATCTGAGTTGTGCTGATATGTTTTGCTGAATTAAAGCCTTAATCACTGCCCAGTACAGAGTTGATTGATTGACCATGCACAGTATTGTTCCCTGGGTTAGGGAGGAAAGACTTGAGCATAAGCAGTAGTTACTCCATAAACTGACTTGGGTCCTGCTTTTTCTCTTGATCTGCCAAATTGTTGTTACTGACTGAACTGAGTTTAATGCACTGATAACGCCTTGTTTACCGTCTAGAAGATATTGGAGCTCTCCAG